ATAGGACAGAACACAGAGAGATTAGCCTGGAGCTGTGTTTATCAGTAAATAAAAGACTGTCTAGGGAGAACAATGGAGAAATGAACCATCATCTCCATGAAACAATAGTGGAAAGATTAAAAATGTTAAATCCTGAGCACAAACCACTGTCTACAATGAGCAAGCAGAAAACTGAATATTATGAAAGCTATAAATTATTGTAGCAAAATTATTAATGGAACACCAATGTCTACTTTTGCTACAAAACCAACAAAAAGAATATTGTAATCCAGTCAAACCTTCAGAAATTAATGACTTATCTTATTCATAACTACTATAATTATCAGAAGTATATATATGGTTATAAGTATATATATATGGTATTTTTTATGGTTACACATGTACAAAACCTCTCTTTGACAATTCCTAGCTGTTCACGTGTATCCTTCTTGTTCCACAGCAAAGAAAAGTAAAGACTATATTGGAAAACACAGATATAGCTCATAATATTCTTTTGATTAGATATTTTATGAAAAAAAAATTTAAGTATATAATTTTAATGTAGTATATGTATTAAGTATATTATACAAATGACAATAAAAATCAGGAGAGAAAGAATAGTGATCTACTTTAGTCAATAACTCATGCCATAGGCAGAGACTTTAAAACAAAACAAAAAAAGAATTCTGATCATCAATAGTTCAGCCACTTTCATTAAGGAGACCAAGATGGCCTTCAAACTAGAGAAGAAAAAAATCAGGTAAATTTATTTTATGACTCTTAGCTAATCATAAAGACAACTCTTCAATGTCAGCAACACATTTTATTTTCCCATGGGATAAACATATTTTTATAACATAATTTGTCATTTTATTTCCAAGGAAAAATATGCAAAAAAATACACCATAATGTTTCTTTATAAGAAACTACATGTGAAAAAAATTTTCAAATATCTATTAAGTAGAATTTAAGATATGGGTGATGTTTTTTCTCTCTTATTCGAAATGTTTATGCATTGCATCTGTTTAGAGTGGATTAGATCAATGTGTGTATCTCCCAAACAAATGTTGTTTCCTGTAGGCCAGTACTTGTGTTTGTACTCAGTCTATGCCATATTCCAATGCACATCTTTTATTATCGCTCTCATCACATCGCATGATTCTTAGTTTGTTTTCCCTCTTAAAATGTCAGCACACTGAAAGCAGAAATTGTCATTCTTATCTGGATATCTTTTAGTTCTTAGCACAGAGAATAGCACAGAGTAAATGTTCAAAAATACAGGAAGAATTGATTTATACAAGTATAATGTGTATTTGTAGGATACCGAACTTCCCTAAAAATCATTAGTTCTGAGTTGAAGTTAGGTAAGTATTACAGATAGTCTTAAAAATGATAGTTTAGAAGTCATAATTATACAAGCTCTGTAGTGAACACTTGATTCATCTGTTTAAAATATTATGTAAATTTTCTTGTAAATTCACTATGTAAATTTTGGAAACCAAAGAAGCCACAAAGCTTCTTTTCTCCATGAAATACAATAAAATTAAATGTCTTTTTTTTGTATTTTGGAGAAGGACTATGTAGTGGAAAATTACGAATTTTAACATTTCCATAAAACATAGAATATAGGAGTGTGAATCTTCTCTTCTTCTCAGGCAAACATATTCTGCTCTGGATGTTGCTAAGATACACTCAACTTAAAAGTACAGAAATATGATTTGGCTCTTTAAAAATAGGCTAGGCAACTTTCGTATTTCTGAAAAAATGAGGCTTTAGGGAATAGACACAGTCTCAGTACGATCATTTATTCTAGTCACTTTCTAGACTAATTACATAGTGTTTTGTAAAGATTTTAAATCTTAAATTTTAATATTGAGTAGAATAAAATTATTTACAAGCATTAATCAAATATCTCTGCCTTTTGGCTCTCCACCCTTATTTTATCCAAATTCATTTCAGTGAAAATTCACTTCCACTAGTAGCTACTTTCTGCGCAATCCCATGCATTCTTTTTGCTGGGGAAAAAAAAAAGGTTACACCACACCCCTAACTCGTTTGTTTTGAGGTGAAGGGATGGTGAACATGGATGGGAACCACCACACTGAATTCTTAAATTACGACAAATCGCTTGTAAACAGATCTTTTCTACCCGAGTCAGGTAGAAAACATTATGAACATCTTTAAAAGGTTCAGATTATTCTAGTTGCGAAGTCTGACCTTAGCACCTACCAGTTGTTTTCAGTTGCCAATATTTTCAAGGTGAAATATTACTTCTGTGTTATATTCCTATCACTGACCTTAAAATCTGTTTGTGGATAAGAAATAAACAGTTGATTTTCTTTACAGGAGCCTGGTCATAAATAGAAGGTATAAAAAGAATGTATATATGTATTAATATACAGTATATACATATTTCTATAATACGTATTACATGCACATATGTTATATGCAGAAAAATATACCTATAAAAGTTTGGAAGCTACCTACATCTTTATGTATTTATAGAAGTAAATATATATACATGTATATAATGTTGTAGACTCACTGAATACAGAAATAATAGATACAAATCAAAAATCTTATCATGTACTATCTCCACATCCCTAAATTTGTTTCTATTTTCAGTCCTCATATTCACATTCCCCTTATGTACTTCTACATTACTGTCTCTCTTAATTCTTTGCAAAATTTGATTTCCTTTACATTTCACTTTCATAGACCCTCTTATTTTTCCTGCTACAGAATTCCATCTTTTCTCCCTTCCTTTCTCACTACACAATTTAGCTGAACTTTTTCACTACTGTTTCAATTACTATCTAGCTATATCTATTATTATTACTAATTACTGAAACATTACCTCTCTTTCTAAGATGCTTTCATTCTCTGCAAGTATGTATGTAAATATATCTTTATACACACACAGAGGCAATATTTTTTTTTCTTCACCTTTCGTTTTTCATGTAGTATTGTATCTTGGAAAATATTCCATATAGTTCATAAATTGGTTCCTGATTTGTTTTAAGCTGTTGCAAGTTATTACACTAAATGTAGTATGTAGGATGGCATTCCATTAAATGTAGAAAAGTAAAATATATGGTAACCATGGTGCAAACACTAGGAGAGGAAAAGTGGAAATACACTATTGTAAAGTTTTTATAATATCATGAAGTGCTTTAATACATTTAGTTGAACTATGATATGTTAGGAATTAACCAAACTAGGGTAATAACTTAAGTGTCCTAATATAGACAGGTTTATCAGGAAGATCTTGTATATATACACAATGGAATACTACTCAGCTATCAAAAAGGACAAACTCTTGCCATGTATGCTAACATTGATGGAACTGGAGGGGATAAATAGTAAATGAAATGTCAGAAAGAGAAAGACAAATACTGGATGATGTCACTTACAGGGTAGAATATGGAGATACTAAACAATGGGTCTGATTATGCTAAGCTAATAACAAACCCTACAAAGCTGATTGTAGAACCAGAGAGGCAAGAACAAAGTAGGGGGGGGGCCACAATGAATTATGGGGATAGAATGTGGGTGCTTTGGTGGTGGGTCTGGGTGTAGTATCAGTACCTGAAGGGGGAGATCCCATACCTCTAAAATATTAATAATTATATAAACCAATATTAACTCAATAAATAAATGAAAAAACCACAGAGATGCTGTGATTATTCAAACAGACTTCATTGGAACTTGCCACTGGAACCTGTATATACCTAATTAGTTGGTATAAACAAGAGATGTTTGATTTGGAGAACAATATTCACCTGACTGCCGCAAAGCAAAAGCAATTCCGTCGTAGGAATAGAGGCAAACATTAACAGCAGAGACCATTGAATGTTTTTGGGCAAAAACTTTTCAAGACAAATGGAGACTTTCAGTTTAGAACAACAGATCTTGACTTTGTTTTCCTTTCTCTTTTCTTAAACCAACTAATAATTATATTTTTTGCTGTCCTTCCTACCATGCCCAGAATTTCACTTTCCCTAGTTGTCTTTCTTCATTTTTATACTGTTTCAGCACTAAATGTTTTCATTATTTCAATAAAGTTGGTATTTTCCTTTCTATGTCTTTATTTTCATTCAATATTTGCTTGGTTTAAGAAAGGAGAAGCCATACTATTTTTTTTAAAGATTTATTTATTTATGCATACAAGAGCTGGGGTACAGGCCAGAGACACAGGGGGGTGAGAGGATTCCAGAGACAGAGTGGGGAATAGAACAGGCAGACTGACTGAAATACACTGCTGAAGGGAGCAGCAGGTGAGATAGGAGAGGTCTGCTGCACCATGTGGGTAGCTCCCTGGCCATCTGGGGATCAAACTTGTGCTACAGAGGCTGCAGATTGCTTCACAGCATGGCGCTCAACCCCCTACACCACCAGGGAGGCCCAACCATGCTATTTTAAACTTCAAATACCCATTTCTCCTTCATGAACATCAGTACACAAAACTATTCAATGCCTCTACTAAAAATGTTTGCATTAATTCAAAGCTATGATATTTAATGTCTTAATGTTTTAGTTTTTATAGATTCAGGGCACGATATTTGAAAATGTTTATTAACCTTAGAGACATATCACAGTCTATGTGCAAACAAAGAATAGAAAAACAGTTGATTCTTTGAGTTGTAAAACTAAAATTCATTTTATCTTTTTCTCATATCATTGATGAATTGTTCCCATCTTCTATTAAGCAAAATAACAACTGCCAAAATCAGTCCCCAAAATTCAAATATAAAGGTTCAAAGATTTAAAAGAAATAAAATATATTCTATTTCTGGGATGAGAATCTCAGTACTCACAGGCAGGGCCTCAATGGGGTTGGATCAATCCTTTCTTTTCCTGATGTTTTAAAAATCCAAATGGATGATTCTGATGATTTTCATATAGTATATATAGCAAGTGTTTTATTACAGCAAATTAGGTTTCTCAAATATCTGGTGAAAGTGGATTCTAGAAGAATTTTTTAATATATGACTTATTTTCCTCTTATATTTTCCTCTTAGGTTCCTGTGAACTTTCTCTCCAAAAATGTCAGTTTTAGAGCTTCCCCAAATGATAAGTTCTTATGTTTCTGATGACCTGATGCTGCCCTGAAAGTGCCCATCACTCAACTGTCATCACTCTTTGCGGATATTATCTCTGTGAAATGTTGTTTCTCTCACTCATGTGATATTAAGACCTTCTCTGACTGCTCCCGTGGGGTAAAATATTCTTTCTCCATCAGTATTCCTGGCATGTGGCAGCACTGGCTCAAAGACTGGTAATCCAACTTTGATCTGAATTATTTGTTAATCACAGTTTTCACCTCCTAAGGACTTGGGTAATAGTCCGAAGGAAAACAAATAGTTCACATGGCACATTGAATATCACCCCATTGTCATGTGCCCACTAAAGAAGTAGATATTTGTATTACTTGGTTTTCCTCCTATAGTGTATCTTGAGATATGTGTTTGTGAATAAATCTTCCAAAATGCAAATAATCTAAATTGTAGAATCATTTTCATTAACATGTACATGTTACATGTCAGACAACATTCATTGTTCCATTCTTGTTTTCTGCAATAGCAATGACTAGTTGTGTATCAGTGTTTTCCTGTCACTTCAACAGATGTTTTCAGCGGGACAGAGGATCTATTGATATTTATTAAGTGCTTCCCTTTTTTTTTTTTAAAGAGTTATTTATTTATGCATCCAAGAGTTAGGATACAGGCCAGAGATGTGGGGGGTGAGAGGATCCACCAGAGACAGAGTAGGGGACAGAAACAGGCAGACTAAAATACACTGCTGAGGGGAGCAGCGGGTGAGACAGGAGAGGTCTGCCTTGCCATGTGGGTTGCTCCCTCGCCGGCCGGGGATTGAACTCGTGCTGCAGAGGCTGTGGATTGCTTCAGAGTGCGGTGCTCAAACCCTTGTGCCACCAGGGAGTCCCCAAGTGCTCCCCCTTGTTGGCCTTGTGCTAACTACTGCACCAATTTCACCTTTACTCATTTATCCTCACAAAAACCCAGTGAAGGAAGTACTATTACTATCCCACGTTGCACATGCAGAATGTCCAAGAAATAAAGGAGCAAAGAAAGAGTAGATAATTTGCCCCACACAGATGTAAGTGGTGGCGCCCATATGAGACAACCAGCAGAGAGCAAGTTCAAATCTCACCCTCGTCCCTTGGTCTAAACTGCTCCTCATAATGAAACACACACAGCCAGTGATTTCTTCCCCTACCCGATTCTATTGACTGTGTAAGTTCAAGGTATACAGCATGATGGATTGATTTATATATGGGGTGAGAAGATGACAATAATAGGTTCGGCTAATATCCATCTTCTCTTGCACATGCAGTAAGAAAAGAAAGCCATCACGGGCATTTCTTTCCACAAATCTTTTCCCTTTGCAAAGCATTAGCAGCATCTCTGCCCACCTGAGTCTATGCAGGTGCCTCTCTTTTTCCCTTTCTCCTTTTCCTAATAAACCTTTCCTTTTAAAATGAAAAAAAAAGGGGGGGGGAGATGTAGGGGGCTAAAAGCCCCTTGGGATAAGAACTTAGGTTTTACTCTCAATACCTTTCCTATGTGTCATATTTATTTGATTTCTCTTTTTTCTGCTTATATATTTTCCCCCAACATTTGATTTCTTAACCAAACCTATATTGATGAATACTTAGGTTGATCCTACCATTTTCTGCTTATGGGGAACATTATAATGATATGTTTGTACATCATTTTACATGAGAGTTTATAAACAGATATCTAAGAGTAAGTACATTTTATATTTTGATATTTATTGCTAATATGTTCTTCTTAAGGGGTAGCAAGAATATATATTCCTGAGAGCCACATATTAGAGTAAAGCAGTGTATTTTTACAAGTTTCAAGTTATTTTTGGAGTATATTCACATGTTCTTGCTTTTCTTCTCCCTCAGGTTCCCTCCTACACTAAATGGATACAATTATCTAAGAACTTGGACCACAAATCATTTTGTACAAAAATTCAAAATCTAGCCAAGCTTATGTTTTGGTACTTCTGAAGCATAGGGGAGGGTGAATGTAGTGGCAAGGCTGCAGGTTGGCAAGGCAGGTGGGCCAGGAGGCTGGGGAAGGACCCAGGCCCCCAGCCCCCTGCAAATCTTTATGCTTTCTCTGGGCCCTCCCTGACATTCTCTGGTGGTTTTGCTGCTTCTGTAGTCATGCCATGCATCCTCTGCAGTCATAGACAGCTCTAAGTGACTTTATAGCCCTGGCCTCCAGGCTCACGTGTGCACACTTACAGATGTGTGCCCACCCATGCTCAAGCTGTCTACCATCAGGCATGTGTGCCCCATGCCAATGCTCCCAAGTGCCCTTCGTGTTAACACGATTGAGGCTGCAGGTGATAGCTACAGAGGCTAGTGGCATTGGTAAAAAATTCACTTACTCTACAATGAAGTTATCTGGATAATTAGATTTCCTTCCCCATTTCAACTGGTATGTTTAGATTTATAGATGTTAAATGGCAGACTGTGTTATTGTTAGGTTTTCTGGAAATCAGATATTCACTACACATAAAAACCCTCAGAATTGTGAAATGTCTGGAATATATTGAAAGCAAGTTTAATCACACAATGATTTAAGAAAATAAACTTTAAAAAATAGGGGAAACTTGAAAACTGTATCTCAAAGAAAACAATTGGCGGCTAGATCTTTGTGGAACTGTTTTTAAAATGAAATTTTATTGATTTACAAAACTGCATCAAACTTGGGGGTGCTTATACACCCTTTATGTGTGTATAAGCCTTCCTCACTCATCACCAAAGTTCTCGTGGTATGGCCACAAGCAGGCTGGCACCTCACCCTTTCTTTACCCCTTTGGGGCCCCCTCCTTGGTAACCACTGTATTTATTTGTCATAGAGTCTAAGAGTTACTTTTTTGTGACTTGTTAGGTCATTTGCTTTGGTTATTTATATCCCACCTAAGAAAGAAGCCAGCCAGTAATTGTCTTTTGTTTTCTGAATTACTTCATTTAGCATAATCACTACACGTTCCACCCATGTTGCTTGGAGCTATTGATGCCTGGTGATAATAAAAAGCAGACGGACTATGTCAGTTTTATTATTGTTTTTGAAATCTCTCCATGCTCTCCATGACCCCAGTTCTCCCTTTCTATGTCACTATTATCCTTAACTGAGATAATGAATGTGAAAATGCTGGCACCAGCCTCAACAAGTTATTTTCTAGTGATCACAGTGGTGAGTGTTAATCATTAGCAAAGTTTATCCTTTGTAAAGTACATGGAGGCTCTTTTTAAACCATTTTCCACTAGTCAAATTAGGATTTCTGTTTGAACTGTTACTGCAAATGATTTTTCACATTTTCCCAGGGATACTGAAACCACACAAACCTGGGGAATGTCATGGTTCATGGGTCCTGCTCAATCATGCACTCAAATTTGCAAGATACAACTCAGACTATAATTACAGAATTTATTCACAAGGGGGGAACTGGGAGAGAGTAATAAAGAAAAGAGTTTCTATGGCCTCCTGTCCTACCCCAAATAGTGTTCATAGTGTTCCTAGACCAAACCAAAAGCTGCTTGTAAATGATAGTATTGTCCCGCCAATGGAGCCTAGAGCTGGTGGCCACTGATAAGTGGTAGATCAAGACCCAACACATGGTGGCGGCTCAAAGTAATCACAGATAGTATCGCTGAGGCAGCAATGCAGCAGCCAGCAGCGGCAGTCTAGAGGTTGGACTGGGCAGTGATGGAGACAACAGCAATAAAAGACAGCTCTAGAGGTGGTGCGGGCACCGGCTAGCAGAAGTGGCCAGCAGGTGATATCAAGGATCAGGCAGTGGTAGCAGCTTTAAGAGGCACCAGGCACAGGCCAATGACACCAGTCAGAGTTGGTGACAGTTGTTAGAGGCAGGAGTGGCAGGCACGTGGCAGTGCCTTAGGACCAGGAGGGAAGATCTCAACATGAGTCCCAGCAAAGAGTGTTAGGCAAGAGTCTCCATGAATGTCTCTGATTCCATCTGCTGCTTGGGCTTATGTGGCTTTCGGGGTATGTGGTTTTCAAACCTGATTTGCGCATTTTCAAAACCGGTGCAAGTTTAAAAACCCATGAAACCTGACGTGCCCCATGTCTACTGTTTCAAGCCACTTGTGAGAGGCCCAGGAACCAGGTTCCCTCCCCGGCACAGAACGAGAAGCCACAGAGCTCCTTTTACACTACTATGAGATTTTGTTTTTTAACAGTCAAGTAAATGCAAATTCTTAGTTATTAAAATTAACTACATGAAGAAAAGGCTTCCTTCTCAATTTTCACTTGCTATTATTTCAGTATATTGAAGCCATTAGGAGTTCTATTCCAGGACAGGGCTTGTAATTGAGCTGCTGAGTTAAAACTGTTGTTTGTTTCCCCTACTGCATGAGCTGTGAGTAGTGTGATGTATGAGTGGTGTGGTAAATTTCTTAACATCTACAAATCGGCAGAATGGTTATTATAATAATATTGACTTTCATAGTAGAATTGGAAGGATTAAATTACATAATGTGCATAGAGTAGGTCACAAAATATCTGCAATACTGAGTAATGAAGCATTTCATCTTTATCAGTTACTATTATTGCCTTTTTAAAAAGATTTATTTTTGCATAGAAGAACTGGGGCTAGAGGTGTGGGGTGGCAGGAGGAGATGATTCAGCAGAGACAAAGTGGGGAGCAGAACAGGTGGGTTTACTGAACTACACTGCTGAGGGGAGCTGAAGTAGTGATAGCACTGAGACTTAACCCCTAGGCCACCAGGGAGACCCAGTTACTACAATTGTTAACTAATCATAACAATTAGTCCTTTGTTTTTTCCTACTTTCTACCTCTCCCTAAGTTCTATTTTGCTGCCACACAAAGAAAGTTAAATTATCAGGATTTTTTTTTTTCCTTCTCTGCTCTCTCTCTCATTCTAAAAAGTCCTCTTGAGTTAGCTTCTCAGACAATCCTCTGTCATTGCAAACTAGCAGTATTTTTGCATGGTGTTGCTCACATACATTGTGTTTGCAATTCTGACCTTCACTTTTCTAGTAGATAGTACTGCTTTGAATACTGAAACATCAACCATTTTGTCAATGGAATATGACTATTTCTAGATTTAAAATTTGCTATATCTGTATCATTTAATTTAAGGGAAATCTTTAAGTCAAGAAATCAATGTGCTTTAAAAAAAAAAAAAAGACAAATCATGAGCAATCTGTGTGTCTGGGCAGCCTAGTACCCATGTGAATCTCAATAAGCAGCCATACCCTGGAGTGGTCTGGAGTCAGATGCAAGATAAATCCTTTCCAGGT